AAATACATACAAGACCAGTTTCCATCAAATATAAAGAGTTTAACAAAATCCTAAAGAATGATTACAAGTCAAGAAAAGAAAGTTGAGTTTAAGAAGTTTGAACCGTGCTCTTTGGAAATTGAGTTGGTGTAACAGTTATAATTGTATGGTTTTGTAGTCAATGATTTTGTAGTCATAAAATGGCAGCAATCGTAATTTAACTTTATCTTATGACCTCCTGTTATAGAAACTCTGCTCTTTTTTTTTTCTTTTTTTTTTTGGATATGGAAAAAAAAAACTTTGAAGTTTCTTCGACTGAAGGGGCAAAAAATCTGCTGAAATCCTGTGGCGATTACTCTGAAATATTTAATTTCAAAGCTTACTAAGTTTGTCTTAAAGTTTATATACAATTATTTCAAAAGCAAACTACAACAGAGCCAAGGGTTAGCAAATGCAAGTCATTTGCAAGATTGCCACCGGACAAATATTCAGTACTTCAGCACATTTGAGCCTATATAATCATCTATCTAAATAACTCGTTTTCATTTTTTGTACAACAAAACTCATTTGTCAAGTGGAAATATTCAAACAAAATATTTGATTTTCAATGATTTTGGGGCGACCATCTTGAATTTTCAAATGGCGGCCATCCTATCTTTTTGAAACCATACTTATTGAACTCAGAGGGCACAATAACATATGATTAGACACCAAATTTGCAATTTTTTATTGAGAAGTGGAATTACATAACAACATTTTCGATATTTAACGGTTTTTGTGGCGGCCATCTTGAATTTCCAAATGGCTGCCATCCTAGCTTTTTAAAACCATGTTTATTAAACTCATAGGCACAATAACATATGATTACACACCAAATTTAACATGTCTGATTGAAGAGAAGTGGAATTAAAACATGATTAGACTCAAGTTTCCCATTTTTCATAGAGGAAATGTGGAATTAGAAGAGAAGTGGAATTAAAAACATGATTAGACTCAAGTTTCCCATTTTTCATAGAGGAAATGTGGAATTATACTGAAATATTTCATTTTTTGACAATTTTATGACAGCCATCTTGAATTTCAAAATGGCTGCCATCTTAGGTTTTTTAAACATGTCTCAATGAATTCAGTGTTCCTAATAACATATCGTTAGACACAAGATTTACCCTTTTTCATCGAGTTAAAATAAAGTTATGAGCCATTATCAGAATTTTGGCGGCCATATTTTAAATGGCCGCCAAAAAAACATGCTCCGCCCATTTTCTGGAGGCTCACCCCCCGCTCATTTTTTTTAAATTTATACCCTAGTGATGTCAAATCAGCAGAAAAACTGGTCACGGGGGGGGGGGGGGCCTTTTTTCACTATACTACAGCAACTAACACTATTTAGTTTAAATAAGAATGTTATAATAACGTTACAATTTGGTAATAAGAAAGTTATTTTGTAAAAACATAATTATGTGCGTACTTATAACCTAATTTTACAACGTCACAACGTTTGAACGCTCTTACAACGTTCTGTGAATGTTATGTTGTGAAATACCTACCCACAACGTTTGCGAATGTTATAAGCACGTTTTGTATTTGCTGGGGTACTATAAATATTTATTATTTATTTATAAGTGAATTATTTATTCAAGTATTTTATACCATTATATAATTTTAAGATCAAATAAATATTCTCAATGGTATAATTATATATTAATACTCTAAAAATATAAAGTTGAACCTTTTTATAGTAATTTTTAGAAAAATATCATGGGCATGGGATTAATTATCTTAGTAAAATCTACAGTACAACCATAACTTTCGTTGGTTGTTTGAGCCTATATTTCAGGTCATTTCGCACAAAATGGAGCAAAATGATTCAGGGCAAATATGACTTAAAACACTTTAATGGCGCTTAGCCCAAGAAATTAGAACCAATCCTAGTGCTAGGCTAAATGAGCAGGCCAAGCGAGAAGCCTGGCTAGAACGTAGGGTCAAAAAGCCTAATAGGGGGCCTACACTAAGGCTTTATGGTAGAGGAACAGGAGGGGCCTGTAAATAAATATAGCCTTGCCTGGGGATCTCCGTGGGTCTGCCTTGGTGTTAAATTATATGAAATACTGTAAAAGAAAATTATATAGGCCTAGATCCACGACATCGTCGCGCTGCAGCTGGCATGGCATGGCTTAGCCAAACGACCTGGATGCGTCACAAATCTGGTTCCAGGCGTCGCGACTAATGACCCATGACCCATTACTTTGGAAGCCTATGTTTTTACGGTAAAAATTTTCTATACGAATCTACGTGACTGATCCTATATAGTGTATTTTGTATTCGAAATACAGCCACACTACATGTGACTGACACGCGATTGTTTGGTTGGATATACCTAGTGATAATAGCATAATCGGGTGGTACAGGTTCTAGACACATAATCAACGCCATCGTAATAGGTTTTAAATATTTTGACAATAACCTCATTATCAGCAACGAATAGACCAAAACAAAGATCCTCGCCTATAGTAGACCCAAAGCACAGATCATATAAAGTCATTGCAGCAGTAGACACATGCTCCTGGTGGGAGGCTTTCTATCATTAACCAAGCACACGTACACATTGCCAATTTCCATTTTCATATTGGCCAGTTATCCCAACATCATCTGGATCGGGGATGTTCTTGTATGAACACCAGGGTGAGCGCGTATGTTATTTATCTGGATCATGGTAACCGTTAGCTGCCGTGTTATGAACATAGCCAATGTAATGCACAGAAACAAACGTATCTTATCGACCTGTAGCCAAGTCACGTGCGATATTAGCGCTGTCTTAAAATATGAGAGAAAACGGAACTAGAGTTAGGTGTGTGACAATGCACAGAGGAGCATTGCGCATTTAGGTGGGAGTGGGAGAGACGAAATATAGTTGGTTGTTAGACGAGACGTATTGTAAAACCAGGGAGAGCCACCAAGTTGTACTGAATGTGGGTGCGACACATTAAAGTTGAATAGGTGTTGCTTGTAGAGGTAGATTTTATGAAGATACTTGTGCGTATTCTTGCACGACCATCTTCAATTTGTTGTATACTTTTGGATGCGGGCAGGATGGACAGAGTCATTATCCTGTTATAGACCTCGTACTCTCAAACTTTCAGGTGTATATTTTATGACAGTTATAGTGAGCACATGGAAATATACTTGGAAACATGTGGACACTTCGAAATTCGGGAATTAGAATAAGAAAAACTGACATCAAAAATACCATTGTACAACAGATCTGATTACTTTATAATAAGTAATGAATAACTTAACGTAACGCTTGTTTCTGTGCATTACAAACTGTTGTTTGATTTTGTTGATCACGTCGTTAAGTGACGTCACAATATATTTTTTTAATTTTTTATTTGGCATAACAAAACATTGCGTAAATTTAATAGGGAACCTTTATTAAACAATCTACTAATTGCAACACTAATTGCAAACTGACATAAAAATACCACTGTACAACAGATCTGATTACTTTATATTAAGTAATGAATAACTTAACGTAACGCTTGTTTCTGTGCATTATCATGAATCACAAACTGTTTCAATTTTGTTGATCACGTCGTTAAGTGACGTCACAATATATTTTTTAAATTTTTTATTTGGCATAACAAAACATTGCGTAAATTTAATAGGGAAACTTTATTAAACAATCTACTAATTGCAACACTGAGTCGTGTCTTAAAAAGAGAGATACATTCTGTCAAAAAAGCTCTTTACATAATCGACATGAGATCAGCGTTCCAAATTTGTTCTTCGATGGATTCGCACATTCTCACTAGAGGGCGTTACTATAACATTCCTTCCTATGCAAAAATTATTTATTTTAATAAAATAAAATGGACCTATCAAGATTTAAAATGTGTACTCATTTCTGTCCCTTAGAATGCTCAAGGGAGATCATTTTTTACCAGTAATTCGAAATAAAGGGGCGCTGGGTGGGATTTTAGAGATGGAAGTTTTGACTACCGCAAAAACCCATAGTTGGGGTTGTGGTTTGAACTGGCACTTTCAAACTTAACTTGAATGCAATTTTCTTTTCTCCCATTTTGTTTTAATTTGTTTTATAAATTTTGGAGGTGGCTGGTTGCAGGTCGGCGTTTTGTATCTTTTGCATTTATGTAATCTCCAAACAACATTTTCAAGAACAATAAATGCTATAAAGCTTGTGCCTTAATTTGAATTTTTTTACAAAAAAAAAAAAAGGGGGGGGGGCTTGTCATGGCCTTACAAAACAGTTTTATAAGTTTTTTTTTCTTTTTTTATTATGTTTGATATTCATTTGGTAAATGATTTTCTAATCTAAATGTCTTGTTCTTATACTATCTTCTTTCTTTCAAATAGAATTTGAAAAACAATCTGAATTACCTCTTTATATGATATTTTAAAGTGTTTCTTAGCAAACAATTTTTGAGCCCGGTGTATCAGTTGTGTATAGATTTCATTACAATTTTAAATTGTCTCTTCCGTATTTTGCTGTCCTGATCATATATACATTTTTTCTAGACATCAGATTACTACCTGTTATCAGTAGAAATGTGCATAGGACTAGCATTGTTCATCTTCTCTTAATTTTTCCGTGTACAAATAGTTGTTGTTTTTTCTTCTTAATTTTGCCCGGTTTTTATACATTTCAGTTAGGTTAATTTTCTGTCGACGAAAATTTATTTCATTTGTTCCTAGTATTTCAAAGGGCACGTGACTGACGATTATTTGAAGTGTTTGTAAAAATCATTTGTATTGTGTAATCTTCAAAAGGGTTTCAATGCCATATCACGTTATATACTTAAGGGGCTAGGCTTTTAAAATTTGGAAGGTTGTAATTGGATCGTGGTTTTAACCAATTGGAAACCACAATAAATTCCGAAAGTCTATATATATAAATACATTATATTGTAGTAAAACACATGAGCTCGTGATCGCCTGCGGTGTAGTTAAAGACATCGGACTTGCAGTAGAATTTATTAAGTTTGCTATTATTTTGTGTAAAAATGCCTCGACTTGTGACAGACACATCAATTGATTTGGATTACTTTACATGTAATAAGGCAGCTGGAGATTCAGGAGGAAAAAGGAAGGAATTTATCAAGTTACGAGAAGGAGCTGTCATGACCAAAATTCAGGCTTGGAAAGAAAATTGGTTAGTTCGTGGTATCAAGATGTGGATGAGCGATGGCTCTTCAATGCTCTTTGGGCATCAACAAGGCGATACAAGTACGTTCACAATAAGCGAAGGTGAAAAAATTACAGAATTGTTTATTCAGTCAAGCGGAAAAAAGGCGAAAGGTTATTATCGATTTGGCGGTTTTGGAATTAAAACTGACAAAGGCAAAAACTGGAAGTTTCTCTGCAGTAAACTTAAAGATGAAGATCGCTACTGGCCTTATGTCGGCTCTGGACTAATGTGTGGAATGTTTGGTCGTACCGGTGATGACGTGGACTGTCTTGGTTTCGCTCTCCTACGACCTGTTAAAACGGCTTATTTGAAAGATGTTTCATACCCTGGCATAGCTTTTAAAACCGTGGATACTCCCCCAACTACTGTGGCAAGCACTGAATACTATAATAACACTGACGTTGATCAGTCTTATGAATTATCAGCGTCAGCGTCGGTGACGACTGTACGTAGCTGGAGTGTCACTACAGGCATTGAATTTGGTATGGATGTAAATGTCGTCGGTGGAATTCCTATGGTAGCGGAAGTAGACACGACGTTCAGTTGGAAGATCAGTGCAGATCATACTTATATAAGATCTACTTCAAAGACCGAAGAGTATACCTGGAAATGGCCTATAATTTGTCCAGCACAGTCAAAGATACTTGCATCAGGCACCATGTACCATGACATGATAGACCACCAAACTTACGAAGCAAACCTGCATATTGAGCTGGACAATGGAAAAGAGTATGATATTCATGTTAATGGAAAGTACAAAGGCATTAACGTCAGAAATGGAATATTGAGCATTGAAGAAATCTCGTAAATGTTCAATAATTATATTCAGTTGGTTTTTCATAATAATAATAATAATAATAATAATAATAATAATAATAATAATAACAGTGATTGACAAGAACATGCTGTTATAATCGTATGAAGCATAGCCCTTCAACGAAAATGATTTAGAAAAGAAAAAACGCCTACTGAAAGGCACCACTAAATAATAAATTAAGTGGATTGTTGTGCGTTGCAGTGTTTAGAATTTAGAGACAAGTGCTAGATTTCAGCCTAGATTAAAATTTATATTAAATTATTATCATAGTTTCCTGATGTTAGAGGTTATTGATTTAAAGCCTATATGATAGTATGTACCATGACGTAACTGAAGCTGAGAGGAGCTGTAATTTTTCAATCTATTTTTAAATACAATGTTGATGAAATGCTAGATCTTTGCCTGAATTAGAATTTATATTACATTATTAATATTTTGTGCTTTGCAGTGTAAAGATATTAGAGGTTATTGATTTAATGATTACATGATAATATGTACCAAATGAGCTAACTTGAAATTCATAACTCGTGATTTGAAATACGAAGCTAAGCGAAGCAGTAATTTTTATATCGATTTTAAAAAATAATCTTTGATAAAACGACAAGTATGAATACATTGTTCTCCTTTAGACCAAGCACACATCTTAAGAACAAATGACTTCACCCTACAATAAAAATCACAATACTAATCATTATAATATAATTTATCAATATCAAAACATTTTGCAAGCGTTGTTGTTAGGTTATATCAGAAAATAAGGTTAACACAGCAATACTTCAAAGTCAAGAATTTAGCCTACGTGATAAAGTATTTGTGGTTCTTATTAAAGTGTTGTGCACCATGATCGTTATCATAAAGTCGAAATGTTATTTGGAAAAAATCTGATAATATGTATATTTAAGCATTTAAACTATTATTAAAAATTAGTATGATAAAAGCAGACTACAATTAATTTTACATAAATTCAATGAAACTTAAAATTGAACAACGATTACATTAAATACTATTTAAAAGAAATTGGAAACGTATTGGACTGCTTTCCAATTACAGAATACAAAAACTATCTCACGACTAAACGCAGCTTAGCTACAAAACTTCATTCTTGCCCATGAGGGAGAACATTAGGTTCATACTTAACAAGTTTCCAAGCAAAATTATAAATAACAAGGGTAATGTATATGATAACATTAACAAAGAAATATGAATTATCCATGTCTATTGTTAATTCTTGCATTTTTTCTAAATAAACAAATGTCTACAAAAGTGTGAATGTAAATGTGCTCGAGGTTGATTGTATTATATTTCTCATTTGTATATTATACATTTTAGATTTATTTTATTGAATGTATCCAACAGTTCATCTTATTATTATTATTCGGCGCTGGTCTCACGAACATGTGAATCGCGATTTTTTTTTTTTTTTTTTTTTTTTTTAATTTCGACATAAGAGTACTTCCATTCTGTCCGCTTCAGTCACCTTCAGTTGCGCGAAGTCTTCATGTCGACCAGTTAAGTTGAGTTCCTTCCAGTTCCCACTCTAGCTTCTCTTAAAGCATTACAAAAAGAACGAAAACACATAGCGCGTAAATTTAAGCAACAGTAGGCCTACTATCAGATTATTTATCGTAACGCATGTCTAAGCGCTGTAAAAAAAAGAAGAAAACGAATAAGTTTGAACAACCAACTTTATTCCCTTTGTCGTTCGACTGGCTGACTAACTGTCGGTCTAACTATCTGCCTGTCTGTCTGGTGACTAAACAAAGCAATATTTAGTTACCATGAGATAATAAAAATATAATGAAATATTAGAATAAAATCATGAAACAATACAATAATACAATTCCATAATAACTACTCAGAAATGTAGTATCAACTACAAAACCACCATAGACACACTTGCTCAGTTCAAGTAACGTTAAGTTATCAATCATAACATAACATGAATGATAGTACATGCGTTGCATAAATTATTTTTCAATGCATTATAATCAGCATAGTTTAATTGTGAATTAGAACACCAATTCAAATACAGTACAAGAATAACTGAATTAAAAACAATTACATTTAACAATTCATAACAAGCAAATACATAGCAATAGCATATACGATAACACTGCTGGGTTTATATTATCTATAAGCCAAACTATTTACTTCAATAATAATCATCAAATAATCATATAAATGTTCTACAATAATCAATATTATAATAATAAAGGATACAAAGAAATAAGAACATACCATAAATGTACACAAATGAAATATCGAGTGAGTGACCAAACACACGTCAAGCCCTGTTCAATTTCAGGATACCACTGACGCGCTATAGAATGTTTGAACGTTACAGACGCACGCAAAAAATCACGCGCTCTATAGAATGTTCGCACGTTAAGACACATGCAAAATAAAATGATGTCACATAAAATGACGACGCCCTCTATGAAAGGAGTACACACACTCTTACACACCCCTGTAAAACTCAGAGAAATTTTACACTCTAGTAGAAATAGAAGCACGATACACTATGCATATCTTTACTATAGGTCGTTTTAGGACATTATTATTAACTCTTACGTCTACACTCTAACGCGACCGTCTTTACTCTTATGGACTTGAAGTACTTTGCCCATAGGCCATCTTCCTGGAGGTGTAGTTTCATCAAATAAAAGGACAATATCATTTACCATCACATTCTCTTTCGGTGTAGTCCATTTTGTTCCTCTTCTGTAATAATGGAAGGTACTCCCTCCGCCATCGTGTCCAGAACAGGGAAGCTAAGTATTGTACTTGTAGCCATCGCTTCTTTCCATAAGTTACAGACTCATCAGTGGAATTATTTACCGGTGCATCGGGACCATTCCTAAGTAGGAGGAGGTGGTTTGGGGTAAGCAGTCGATCGTCACTTGCGTCTTGAGAGAGATCGGTGAGTGATCTCGAGTTCAAGATTGATTCCACTTCTGCTAAAACTGTTACTAGCACATTTTCAAGAACAGTTTGTTGTCTTAGGACATTATGCATGATCCTGCGCAGAGACCTGATTAAGCGTTCCCAGGCACCTCCAAAGTGACTGGCACTAGGTGGGTTGAAATGCCACTCAAACATTTGTGTGTGACAGAATCTTTTCTTGTCATCTAAAGTTTTCACAGCTTCCCTTAACTCTCGTTCAGCACCGTGGAAATTAGTACCATTATCACTGAATACTTTTGTAGGTTGACTTCTACTGCAAACAAATCTCCTCAAAGCATGTATAAATGAGTCGGTATCAAGACCTTTCTCTAGTTCTAAATGGACAGCTCTGTTCGCAAGACACGTAAATATACATCCGTATATCTTTACTACACCTCGACCCTGTTTCACGTCAATTGGCCCAAAATAGTCGATGCCCACAAACGTAAATGGTGGTTTTCTATCTGAAACTCGTTCAGCTGGAAGGTTCGCCATCATCATTCAGTTAAGCTGGTTTTGCTTGGTATTTTTTACAACACACTAATTTCCTATTACGCACTTCTAACTGTGGAGCGCCCGATCATCAGCCAGTATCGTTCCCGCATGGAGTTCAATTAGAATCATTGGCTGTTAACAGTATAGGATGCTTTGTCCCATCATCTGCCTTCGCTTGATCTATCCGTCCCCCTACTCTCAAGAGGTTCCCTATCAAGGCAGTTGTCAACTTTGTAAGCCGTTTGTCGGTTTTCCAATGTTTTAATTCCGAATTCTGTACCCAAGCAATTATCTCGGTTTTACTGTTGCTGATCTCAGCTACCGACAGATTACACTTAAAATCTTGAACAGGTTCCGTGTTATTTATTTTCTTGACAAATCGTAAAACCCATCTATATATCCGAACAAACTTCATCCATGCTGAAACTCTAGATGTTAATTCAGATAACACAGCATTCTTACAACTTATCGTGTTATATACATGTGCGAAGACATATAACTTTACTTCTGGATAGTCGGAGTTGTCAGCTTCTGCCATACATGACTTTGGCCATTCGCTTTCGTCCTTAGATAAGAAGTCAGGTCCTGAAATCTATTTGCTTATCTGAAGTGTTCCTCTTGAGCCTCTGACATGTCGCCATTGACAAGGTTGTGATGACTCTCTGATTCTGGTCACTGTTCGCCACAAATGTTTTGAACCGTTTAGTTTCATTGGTAATATACCCTAGTACAATCATAGAGTCGGTCAAAAAAGTTGTTTTAGCCAGTTTGAATCTTGGTGCAAGTGATTTTCTCACAATCCCGTCCAACTGCACAGCTAGCATAGCGCCTAACAAGTCTAATCGCGGAATCGAGACATTCTTCAAGGGGCTGACCTTTGCCTTTCCAATAGCAAAGTTTAACTCAACATTTTGGTTTCTGGATGTAGTCCTAAAATACGCACATGCAGCGTAACCCTTCTCTGAGGCAACACAGAACACATGTAGTTGGATACATACAGCATCTTCTAACTTCATCCAACGTGGGACTTTGACATCTTCTAAGTTCGAAATACTCGATGTCCACTGCTTACATGTGTCTATTTCATCTCTGTTTAATTGATCGTCTCAGTCCGAGCTCTTTAAAAGATGATCATTTAACGAGATGCCCTTCCATTTGGCGGCACAACACGAACCTTTCCAGGATTACGCGGATGCGTTACAGGATGGTGTGGCAGGTACCAAACATTACCTTCTTTTGCCTTCCTTGTCTGCAACAGGCTCTGCGTGACGTTTGGAGATATAGGATCCAACAGTTTCAATGTATATCTTCTTTAGGTTTTCATCTTTACTAAGCTTGCGTTTAAGACATGCTAACCTACTTTCGGCCATGGGTTTATTGCAAGGCAGTGGATGATCGTTGTACTTCCAGAATCTAAGTGTTTTTTGGTGTTGTGGCTAACAGCACTCTAGCCCGTTTATCTTTTATGGAATCTTCTGCCACTTCAATGCCTGAGTTCTCTAGAGTCCAGGTTCGATGTAGTTGCTCCATTAGTCCTATAGATGATCCCAAGCGTTCAGTTCCCGGGTTGGAAAGGTGTCTTTATTAGCTGGCACGCTATCTACGGTAAAAAACTTCAGGAAATTTTGTCTTCATCTCTTGTACCACTGATGCTTAAGTCAAACGAGAATCCCTTGTCTTGGTCTCCATTTATTGTCGAAGCAGTGTACTTAACTTTCTGTCCAACGATGTCAAGCTTCTTTCTTAACGCCTCACTACACAGACTAGAATCAGAACCATTACCTAGTAATGCCATCGTTGTCACTTTATAGCTGTTAGCTGCGACGACCTCTACAGGTACTATCATCAGGTAAATATTGCAATTGTTTATTGCAGCACATGACAAAACGGTCTCCGGTGGGTGTAACATATCATGGTGTTTCGGAGATTTACATAACTTGCATACTGATTCTCTGCGACACTTTGCAGAAACATGGCCTGGAAATAAACACTTAAAGCACAATCGTTTAGACTTTATGGTTTTGACCTTGTCATAAGACATTTCTAAGAATTCTTTGCAAACAAATACCCAATGTGGGCCATCACAAATAAAACATGATAAATTCTTAGATGTTTTCACAGCATTGGCATGCACCTTAGGTTTGTCTACCTGTTTTTTAGAATCATTATGTTTACCAATATTTCTACCAAACATATTACAATATGCCTGTCTTTCAATAAAGTTCAACTTATTTAAAAATGTCGGTTCACGATCATCTAGAATTTTGTGACCTGTTTAGCATTACGGTAGTCAGTAAAGACTGACCCAGGTCTAAATTCCAGTTGAACTAGGTTTAACTCGGTTGAACTGGTAATTTTCCGTCACGGAAATTGGACACTTCCAACTGGTTTCCCAGCTAAAAATTCCAGTTGGACCAGTTGGAACTGGAACTAGTTGGTGTTGTTTTGGACACTTTCAACTGGTCTTCAACTGGTCCCAGTTCCAACTGGTCCCAACTCCAACTGGTTTCAATTGGTCCCAGTCCCAACCGGTCTTTAATTGGTCCCAGCCCCAACTGGTCTGCAATTGGTCCCAGTTCCAACTGGTCTTCAATTTGTGAAAGTTCCGAATGGTCTTCAATGGTCAAAGTTCCAACTGGTCTTCAATTGGTCCCAGCTCCTCTTTTTGTAAAAATGTTTACAATCATCTTAATTAAGGTGATTTATGTCCAGAGAAATGAACTGTAATATTAAATGTACCTTAATAAACACTCAAATTTTAAATATGTTATTTCCCTTCGAAATTACTGTATTTAAATTAGTATGATATGCACAATGTAGCTAAGATAAGTAAGATACTAGCAGTTTAATTTTGTTTAATCAAAAGTTAATTATCCATTTCCATTCCTGTTTTTTTTTTTTTTAGTTTACAAAACAGCTGCTGCTTAGGCCTACATAACAATTTCAATATCCCTTGTAGGCCTAATCAGAGAGTATAAATAGAACAAAAGAGCGTACTCTCGTTTGTAAAAACATCATACATGTGTATAACGTTTGCAATCATTTGTGAACCTACTGACGTATGCCCACTATTTACTTGGTAAATAGAAAAACAGACCGCGCGTGGTGCAGGGCGTGGGTGCATACAAATGACAGCGGGCGTCCTACACTGGCTACGTACTAGGGCATATTCTTTGTTTCTCTGTCAATGAGTGTAGTTGGCTCTCTTGTTTTATTTGGCCTAATTACATACACATAACATTTTATTACAGGTCTCCCTCTAGAACACCTCCAATTAAAGACCACTTTTCTATGGTTCCAAGTTAACAAATGTCTTTTATTTTTATTATTCTATTATTATTCTAATTAGGGACAAAGCTGCTAAAGACCATGAAAACCCTGGTCCCAAAAGGGGTTTTAAAGTGGTTTAGTAACATCTCTTTCTTTTTGGAGCATGATATTAAATAGCGCCTATGCCAGTAAACTTGAAACGTAAACAAAACATTATATTCACATTTGAAAGTCAGGAAAATTTCTGTTTCTGCAATCAACTGCCACCAGACACAGTAAGGCTTCAAACAAACAAAATACTTCTTTACACTACCACCTTTGATTGAGTTTTCACTTTGTAATTGAAACCAGACTGAGGACCATGAAATATAATCAAATTTATATTAATTAATTAGTGATTACATACATTAACTTTCGGCAAATAATAATTGCTTTACCCTTCCTACCTCCACCTCAGTTTACCCCCTCAAGAAACCGATTTTATTTCATTAAAACATGCACTTATATAATAATATTAAGTGAGAGGCCTAATTACTATTATTATAGCTTAACATGGCGCAAGGCTGCAGTTTAGCTAGGTCAACAAAAGGACCTACACATAGCCACAATATTGGTCCAAAGCATTTAATAGCTTTAGAAAGCATTGAAATATCATTGATATAGCTGGTAGCATAAAATAGCTTTATGAAGCATATTAAAATAGCATATATAGCTGGTAGCATAAAATAGCTTTATTATGAAGCATAAAGGTTTATTATTAAAATAATTAAAATTACAATAATAATAAAAATAAAAATAATAATAATAATAATATGAAAATAAAAATAATAAAATTAATAATAAATAATAATTGTGTGCAATTCAATAGATAGAAACATTTTAAATACAACATATACAAAAATTTCATTATAATGAACTTACATAAGTTTGCTTTATATATGTACTGTGCATTCATCTTTATTGCTTATTTTGGCACTCTAAGTTTCGCAGTCAGCAATCTTTTTAACTATGCTGTTAACATTTGCAACTTGAAATTCTCCGTATAACTGCACCGGACATTCTGAAAAACAATAATATTATAATGATTAATTATAGAGTATAAGCTTATCAGCATGAGAGAAATTAATTTAATTTTACATGTCCTAGGACAAGTATCTTATAAAATTCAGTTCCTGACGACATTTCATTGTGCAAGAATACACAACTGATAAATATTAATATACTCCCCAGAAGTATATACTCCTGGGAAGTATTTTAAGTGGTGAGCGCCACACCAATGTCAATTCTCCTGAATGGAGAAATATAAACAGAAAGAGCCTTAATACAAGGACACATTTGAATGGCCTGAGTGAGGTAAGAGCCCCTACATGCATATTTAAGTATCCAACTCACCCTTTTTTAATATTCTATTCCTGGTCGACGGCTTGAAGTGCAAGGTTACATTTTTGGCGAACAATTCATTTTTGGAGCTAGTGGTCGATATCAAAAAAACAAATTGCAATTTCTATAGCCTTGAAACTTGTTGGAAAGTTGAAGTGTAAATTTAACGTTCAGTTTGAATTTAGAGTTCACAACAGAAAATACCTGAAATCAGATACTCGCAGAGCCTTGCTTCTAAATTCAGTTAATCCTGTTAAAAACAATCAAAATAAATATAGGCCTAGAGATTAGTGCTATATAGACTGATGATGTAGTAATCATTAATTATTATCAACAATTATTAATTAAACAGTACTAGGCCTATGTCTCATGCCTTTATCTAGGGCTAGGCCTAGACTAAAGCTAGCCCTAGCTAGGCTATGCTTAGACCTGTAAATAGCCTACCCTATGCTAGGCTTGGGCTCTACATCATAGGCTTAACATAAGCCTTTAGGCCTAGGCCAGGGCCTAGGACTACTACTACTGCTCAGTGCTACTCTACTACCATATGCCTTAGTAGTACTAAACAAAGATATCCCCCTCCTGGCCTAGCTAGGTTAGGCCTTGATAATAGTTAATTCAAAAAAACCTAAATAAAAAAAATGTAAATAAATTTTTAAAAATTAAAACAAATATGAAATAATCTGAACTAGGCCTATGCCTGGCCTAGGCCTAATATCATTACACTTTTGTTAGGTTGTGCAAGCCTACGATATGGCACGTTGTAGTAGGCAAGGCCTAGGACTAGTCCCACCTACCAATGCTACCCATCCTAGCAAGATGCCCTTCATGCCTATAAGGAAGGCTATACACTGCACTATTCTAGGGGACTGGCTTGGCTGGCAATGTTCGATTTTTAATTTCAGTTTCTAATTAATCTAAGCCAATATTCATTTAAAATAAGTCTAACAAAGGACCAGGCTTATTATTGTTTAAGAATTTGAACACAAAGTTGATAAAATACTTACTTTTTATGAACAAAAACAACTCAGAGCTGGACAGCCTGCAATTATGCTCTCACCCATTGTGCAAAAATGGCGCATTGTAACTTTGTAACTTTTATCAAGCAGTCGTCAAGAAACCTGTTAATACTGCATTCTGATTGGTCAAATAAATCCTAATTGGAATTAACAAAATCCAATTGGATATTTGTTATCCAATATAATTGTTATCCAATTGGAATTTAAAAACATTCCAATCAGATATATTTTTCTTCCAACTGGATGAAAAACAACCCAATTGGATATTTGCTATCCAGTTGGAATTTCAAGACAATCCAATTAGATATTTCTTATTCAATTGGAATTTAAAGGCAATCCAATTTGATATCTGTTACCCAATTGGAATAAGTAAACATTCCAATTGGATATTTATAATCCAATTGGAAATCTGTTCAATTGGTTCAATTGGTATTCGTTAAAAAATTCCAGTTGGAAGTTAATTGTGAAATTGGATTTTTCCAATTTCTAATTGGTCATTTGTCATCCGATTGATTCCAAATGGATTTATAAAAAAAAAATCCTATTGGACATTTGTTATCCAATTGATCGCAATATGATTTTTTTTTCAATTGTAACCAATTGGATCTAATTGAAATTACAATTACAATCCAATTGACTCATATTGAATCCAGTTCAATTTCCAATTGAAATTAATTGGTCATTTTCGTAAGGGAAAAGCC